AAAATCTTTAAAAAAAAAAAAAAGACTCTGCCTAAATGTCACACTTTCTGAGTCCTTAACATCTTACCTGAAGAGCACCACCAACATCCCAAGTTCCCTGTTATTATTATTCTGTAGCTCTTACCACTATCTGATGCATTATATATCTTTTAAAGATTTGTTTATTTGAGAGAGAGAGGGAGAGAGCAGGGGGAGGGGCAGAGGGAGAGGGAGAGAGAGTCTTAAGTAGACTTCAAGCTGAGCATGGAATCCGATGTGGGGCTCAATTCCACGACTCCAAGATCACGACCTGAGCTGAAACCAAGAGTCAGTCACTTAACCAAATGCGCCACCCAGGCACCCCTGATTCGCTATGTTTTTAACTTATGTTTATTATCTGTCTCCTCCCATGGGAATGGAAGTTCCATGAGGGGAGAAATTTTTCCTTTTGTTCACTGCTAAATTCCAGGAATTCACACATTTACCCATATTTGGATAAATTAATAAATGCTGATAAAATTTTGCCTCCCACAAGAGCCTATTGTTTCAAATTGCCTCAAAGCAATGACCTTAGGTTAGGGAGGAGATTTCCAAAAAAGGGGAGCCCGCACCACCCACAGCCCCGGATTCAGATTACTCACCACAGGGAGCAGCTCTTTCAGCCCACGGGTTCTGTCCCCATACTTTAATAAACCACCATTTTGCACCAAGGACGTCTCAAGAATTCCTTCTTGGTCGTCGGCTCCGGACCTCACCCCACCAAACCTCAACTGTATTCCAAAACCCCATCATATGGTGCCCAAACGTGGGGCTTTGAGTCTTTACATCTGAACTCTGAGCTTCAGTGCAAAGTTGGTGAGCACTTTCTCTCTTCCTTTACTCTCCTTTCAGGGGCCCTTCAAGGAGTACGGTCTTACTGGAACACTTTCACGCCGATTGCTCAGGCTCCAAACCTCTAGCCTGTGGCTACTCTACGGGGAGGAGAAAGCCTGCCTTTTGGCTGGAAGTGAGTACCCTTGCCAGATGGTGGTAAGACCCAGAAACTTGATGCCCTCTTTTTACTGCTGTCCTTATACAAAGTCGTCTATCTTGGGCATGGGACAGCCACCTAAGTCACCAGGACAGCTGCCAATCTTAAGACTGCCATGTGAGAGTTCTTCCTGATTGATCTAATGTGATCCCCTTCACATCCCTGATCTAGCTGCTTCTGGCCACGGGACCTCCACTGGGAGCCGGCCGAAACCAGCACCCGATTGAATTAAAACCCAACTGGGGACTGTTTCTAGGGAAGTCGGCTGTAAGGACTACATGTGTTGGAATGTCGCTTAGAATCATGGTGGATTTCTATCTTTACTGTTTTCCGTCAGTGTCCTCTACTAATTACTTAAATTACAAAATTCGGTAATTTTCCCATTGTAAAACTTTTCTAGTGTTCTCCATGGGTTAAAAGCGGCAGGTTCTTAAAGGCAAGATCAAGGTAAAATACCTTCAAAGCAGGTAAAGGCATGACCTTCATCCATGACCTTCAAGGCATGATATTTCAGTCCTAGGATGCAATGGGAAAGCGGGGGCAGGGCAGGCCTCCCTCTTACAAGGGCCTTTTTTTTTTTTTT